TATTTAATTCCATGGCATTTTTTTTTTTTTTTTATTAGAAGCTTTCAAGCCTTCTAGAGAAACGTTTCTTTAACATTTTGTCTAATCAACGCTTGTTTATCATCGTCGAATCTTTACTTTTCATAAACTTAAATTTTACAATAGAAAAAGATGTTAAAAAATCTTAATATTGTAAATAAGGAAATATTACAGATTAATAAAATATATCAGAATAATTATATATATAAATTAGTGTATCTCTTATTCATTATATTCGCTTTTATTATTTTCATTAGTAAAATTTATTAATCTGGTATTTAGTAAATTTTTTTTAGTTAAATCAATTTAAGAACATCTGAGAAAAATTTATTTTTCTTGAAAAACCAATCATAGAGATTATATTACATTACTATCTTGAATTGCAAATGAATTGAATCAAATGTCTCGAGCATACTCGAGAAAAACGAATTCGAATGAAAACAATTTTCGAATTTCGTTAAACGAAATTATATACAATGTACAAAATTTGCAAAGTTTCGACACTAAAATCCTCTCGTAACACCCGCATAACGATCGTTTTTCGAAGTATATGCAGTTTTATTTAAATATCGATCGAGTTACGGGCAAACAAGCAAGCCCGTATTCCATCCTTTCGAGCACTCCCTTTAAATCCTGTATAAATTGTGCTTCGAGGAACGATTTGAATCTGCGTCGATTTTTCTTTCGTCGGTGACACGCCACGTTATTAATTTTTTTTTTCTTTTTTTTTTCTTTCTTCCTTTTTTTTTTTTTTGACGCTGGAAAAAACCTTTTATATAGTATAAGTTCCAGGCGAAGGCCACGATAACCAATGATCTCACTTAGCGAATTATCGTCTGCAGCATTGCGATTTTATTCTAGGATTATATAGTTAAACGAGACCCGTTAACGTTTACATATATATATTTTTGTTGCGTGAATGAAAATATACGACACGTGAATTATAATTAATCGTCGAATCAACTTAAATACAGAAATTATGTCGCGAGGAATAATTATTGGCAGACTGCAGATTTTTATGCGGATACATATTTTTCGTATTGCATTTTATTTTATACTTTACGTATTGGAGTATAATTGAATATTGTAAATAAATTTTTAAAATCATATTTTAAATAAAATTTTTTGATTACGATTTAATATCTGAAAATTCAATAATTTTTTCAGATGAATAATAATAGTTTAGCAATTATGAGAAATTATGAGAAAATTTTTTTATACGCATAAACTTAATGTACATTTTGAATAATAAGATATATTTTGTATATATTAGAGTTTGAATATCAAAATATTTTATTTCAATTGCATAAAAATCCGCGATCTAATTATTAGATAAACTTTCCAACAAATCTTATCCAATGAACCATCGTTTACTATACAATGATTAAAATGGATCTTTTTCTCCTTGAATTATTCGTGTATAAAAATTTGAAAATATTACAGTCGAATCTCTATAACTCGAAGATTTCAATAAAATTATAATTTTCTTTAATTTTCTTTCACTTCACTATGAAAATCTTTGTAAATCGAAATTTAAATTTTTTATAACTTGAACTTATTTGCTACATATATTTGTTAAGATGCATTTTATCTCTATAATAATATAATCATAATTAAATTTTCCTTTCAATTATTATAATTGTTTCTTGCACAATATCTCTACATATCAAATTTTTGTTTCTTGAATTTTTTTTTTATTCAAAAATAAATTCACACAAATTCGAGAATTTTAATTGTATCTTTAAGATTCGAATTAAGATTCGACTGTATATTCGTAATATTAATTTAAACATCGATTAAAATTTTACACACAAACGCAGAAATTTATATTATATATAAAAAAATAGATGACGAATTAAAATCTCAATAATGAAAATTAAAAATGATACATTATATATTTATTATATTTATTTTACGAAACAATTTCGAACGAAATTATCTCGACCAGTTCGTTGTCATTGATAAATGAAATGACATTCACTTCATGAATCTCATCTATCGACCATCGTCGCGTTATAATGATTTTTTTTTAAACAATTTCATGGGATTCATCTGTGCAACATGTGATCCCAGTTTTTTTCAATAGTAAAAAAACTTCAATCGCTTTATAATCTTTGGCTTACGTTACGTTTAGCTATGTACACGTTATTTACACCTTAAAATTACAGGTATATATATATATATGTATAATATATATATATTTATTTCTTCTATCTCGCTATTTTCTTACTAGATACCGCGCACTTATTCTCCCATTCAAGAACGTTTAGTTTTTCCCTTCGATTTTGGACAATTATTATTTTGATCGCCTCGTTTCACGTGTTAATGATAATCAGACTGCGGATTTTTATGCAAAATCAAATCATTCTTATAAACGTAATCAAAGAAACGGAGCTCAACGAATATTTTCTTTTATTCCTCAAATAATCTCTATTGTATTTTAAATATTTTTTTTTTTTTGTATTTTGCAGATTTTTATATGTTTAAATTTTACGCAAATATGCATAAATATCCGCGGTCTAACGATAACTAAACAACTACGATTTAACAACTGTTAAAATATCAGAATAACAATAGCCGACTATCGATGAAATAATCTACTATTGTCGAGGTGAGACTTTTAATATCGATGGGTTGCGGGAACGAGACCTACAGATCGAATACAGCTGCTTCGACACACTAATGCATTTAATAATACGGTGTAAATAAATAACCGACTCTATCATAGAAAATTGTGTGCGTTCTTCCCTATCATTTTAGTGCAAAGTAAAATTTCTTACTTAGTCTCGTTCGTTCCTCTAAAGAAGGCTCTCTAATCGTGGCTTAAGGGGTATTGCAGCGACATCTGGGATCGACTATGCGAATATCCCATTCGTTCTAACGTATGTTCGGCGTTCACTGGACGATTTTTCAATCAGGTAGCAAATACGTTTAACTTGTCTTCTGACACTACGAGCTCGGTTCTTCGATCAATCAGCAACTGAAATTACATCTTAATCGTTACATCGATTTTAATCGTTGGTCAAAAGTTGAATTTGAAATTTTAATCGATCGAATTTTTTTCACTCGATAGTATTCGAGAGTAAATTTAATTAAGAATGATTTTTCGAATAGATACGAGAGAGTTAGTTACCGATTGAGTAGGAACCGTGGAGCTTATCGACGATTCAAAAAACGTCTTTCACACTAACAACGCTTTCTAATGGCAGTATTTACGGAACCCAATACTTCTCACCCTACGAATTTATTTACAATCCAACGTGACGTAAGGCATCGTACCTTGGATGCGTAAAAATTATCATTCCCAGCTATGAATTACGTCTAACGATAAGAGACGTCGGAGAATTGGAGATTCATCGTGGAGATTCGATCAGATTTTTCTTCATTTTTTTTTCGTCTCGAAAGAAATTAATCGTAATTGATTTAACGATCATGATCGTGTTATTAATTTTGCCGAGGGATCGCAGATTCTCCGACATTGAGTTTATATTTCTCGCGAATATCAGTCCGCTCGCACGAGGCGTAACTAACAATCGTTTTAACCGCGA